CCTCTTAGTGCCAGACAGTACCCTACTTAATGAATCAACAAAATCCTGTTCTCATGGTGCTTGTGTGTGTGTGAGTGAATGTGTGTGAGTGTGTCTGCAAAGAGTAATCTCATAGGCTGCTGTGAAAATTAACTGGGTCAGTATATACAAAACAAGACCAATTAAGGAGAGGCTATTATTTCATCCTGCTTTTATAGATGAGGAAACCAAAAGTACAGAGAGGATGAGTAACTTAATCAGAATCACAGAGCCAGTGAGTGGCAGAGCTAGACCCAGTCTGCATAGTCACACCTGAAGACCATGTCCCTCACCTACCTCCTTGGCAAAAATGGTGAAAAAACTGACTAGCCAAGGAAATGTTGGAAGTGGCCATTAGTGCTTCTGGAATATTTAGGTGACCATTGAAGGGACTTGGACACAATTTGGACCTCAATATTTTATTTGCTTGTTTTTTAAGGAAAGTGGATAAAACAGTGATCCTTGTAACCTGTCAATTCATATTTGAAATTCTTCTTCTCCTTTTTACTTTGCAAAGCTACTTTTTTCCCAGGAGTGGTACCAGGTATTGGGAAGAATGCTTGCTTCTATGAGTCCTTGATTATAAATTCTAGTTTGACCACCTTCTTTAGTAAGTTTCTTTTTTTGTTTTGTTTTGTTTTGTTCCCTGATACTATATTATTTCTATGTTCTCTTGACCTCTAAGATTTATGAGTTATCTATGAAATGTTTATAAAGTATGAAGTTGGGGGAGGAGCAGAGAGTCCCTAAACAAATATGAATGATCAAAGGACTGGAGCAAAATCAGTCATGCTCATTCAGACTAGTGTTTTTCCCTTTCAAAATAGCAAGTCGGCCTTCCTCTTACAGGGGAAATTTATTTGCTGATAACCATCATGCTGATAATTATGAATCACTTGTGCCAAGTAGGTGAGCAAAACCACACTTATGAGAAACACAGGGCCTGTTTCTCCTACTTTGAATGTCCCTAACTCTTTTGGTATGTTAGGAAAGTCATTTCATCTGTGATTTTTTTTTTAATGTTTTTTTCCTGAGACGGGGAAGTTTCTCGGGCTTCTCCAAGCATTGCTAGCTTGATTGAACCACAAATGTTATATTGAACTATGTACATGTTTGTTTACTTCATAGAATTCTAAACTTCTTGAGGGCTACGGCCTCTTCAATACATATGTACTTGCTAATACATACGTACTAACACTGTGGTTGGCAAACTGCAGTTCGCGAGCCACATGCGGCTTTTTGGCTCCTTGAGTGTGGCTCTTCCACAAAGTACCACGGCCTGGGCGAGTCTATTTTGAAGAAGTGGCGTTAGAAGAAGTTTAAGTAAAAAATGTGGCTCTCAGAAGAAATTTCAATCGTTGTACTGTTGATAGTTGGCTCTGTTGACTAATGAGTTTACCGGCCACTGGACTAGCACTTTGTACATTGCCAGGGAAATAGTATGTGACCATTATGTGTTTGATAAATAAATGAAAGAACTTAGCAAACTATACCAAAAGTTATGTAAATAATGATTGCTGTCCCGGAAGTGTAACCGTAATACCAGATGGATCCAAGTCAGCAGCCTCTATTAACACCTGGACCGTCCCTCACAGATGTCCTCTTCTAGGACTTTGGAGGCTACGACTCTCAGTTTTAGGAAATCAGAGCATTTTAAAAAGTGATTACTTTCACAAAATCTATATAACCATCTCCATTTGGTAAATAATCAAGAAAATCCCACCCAGAGACTCATTTCACCTTCCATGTCCATTTCTCAAAAGCATATTTCATGATTTATATATTTGCATTCAACTTCAGTATTAACTTGTATTTTCCCTTCCTAATGTGTCATAGGTGCTCTCTGTTTATTGTTCTATAGAGTGGTCAGCAAACCTTCTCTGGAACACTAACTGTTCAGGCTTATGGTTCCTAAAGCAGCTGCTCACTTCTGCTGCTGTAGCACTAAAGCAGTCATAGACACATGTGCCAACCAAACTGTGTTTATGAAAGCAAGCAGCCTTCCCTCCCCTTAGTTTGCTCACCTCTTTTCTATAGAACTCACCTGGATCATTTAAGATGTTAGGTAATATCCCTTTGATTTATTAATTTACTTAGATACTTGTATATTTGAAAATTTGGGCTATTTTTTTAAACGTGTATTTTTTATTGATTTCAGAGAGGGATAAATAGAAACATCAATGATGAAAGAGGCCATTGACCCTACCCGGTTTGGCTCAGTGGATAGAGCATTTGCCTGCAGATTGAAAGGTTCCAGGTTCGATTCCAGTCAATGGGCATGTACCTTGGTTGTGGGCACATCCCCCAGGGGAGGTGTGCAGGAGGCAGCTGATCAATGTTTCTCTTTCATCGATGTTTCTAACTCTCTGTCCCTCTTCCTTTCTGTAAAAAAAGCAATAACCATATTAAAAAAGAAAAAAGAAAAAGAGGTCATTGGTCAGCTGCCTCCTGCACGCCCCCTGGATTGAGCCTGCAGGTGTCAGACCAAGAATTGAACTCTGACCTCTTAATGCATAGGTCAACACTCAATCACTGAGCCACACCAGGTGGAGTGGGATATGCTTTTGTTCTTATTTTTATTTTTATCTTGACCATTATACTGCAGTAAGCATCTTCTGTGTTTAGTGTGTTTTTTTCCCATGTATTTATCTTTGCTGATTTTTGTAACATAGATCTCAAGCACTCTTACAACCTTGTCAAAACTGTTTTCTAAAACAGCAGAGGAGCAGGCAGTGTTGGCTTAGCCATACCCGGCCTGTGACAGGGAGAAGGGAACATGACCAAGGGCTTGTGCCAAAGAGAAACTCTCAGAGGTGGAGGTTGCATCATATGAGATTACCAATATTAGACTGCCTTAGACCTAAAAAAATTGCTGTTTCATGTAGGTCAGCACAATTAGCATAAACTTTGTCAACCTTACACACAGCAAACCCTCTAACATTGCAGCCTGAGTACAAGTACATTCTAGGCCTTTATTTCAGTGCTCCTGGTCCTGAGTTGGGCTTGAGCAGGAACGCTAGGAGTAGTGAGCTGAACTCGTTCTTGTGAAGATATTCTCAGCCAGAGGGAGATAGTTGGGCTCCAATGTCATCAACCACCAAGACTGAAGCAAAATGTGCCTATTTAGTAGCCCTTAGTAATTTATCCTGTGCTTTGTGGTTCTTTTGCAGTCTAAGGTCATACATTTTTAGCTCTACCACTCAATATAACTTGGTTTCAGAGCTAGTCAGACACAATTAGGTAATTTTATTTTTAAATATAGTTTAGCCCACTCATTCCTCTAAATTTGAGATTTTCAAACTATAGTCCTGTTTTGTAAATAAAGTTTTATTGGAACACAGTCTAGTTCATTCATTTATGTATTCTCTATGCACCTTTTATATTGCATGATGGACTTGTGTGGTTATGACAGTGGCCTTAAACCTGCAAGCCTTAAAAATTTAAAATAAGGCCCTTAAAAAGGAAGTATGTCAACCCCTGCGTGCAGGTAAAGTAGTACTGTATTTGTTATCTTAGAATAGGACACTGCAAACTCTAGCCCATGGACCAAAACTAACCTACTGTATCCTTTGGTCAAGGAAAGTATTGAAGCACAGCTGACTGTGGTGTTGATTTGACTGCTTCTGTTCAATTAAATTAAGTCAATGCCTGAAATTGTGTCCAACTCACTTCATAGAAACTTAGCATGAATTTCCCTCCTCCTGAATCTCTCTATCTGTGCTATCACTGTGGAATATGTCTCTCTCCCCCACGAGATGTTATAACATGAGGGTTTCAGGTTCTGAAGCCAAAGCCTCTAAGTTAAAACCCTGGATCTATCACTTTATAGTTACCATTGGAATAAGACAAAGGGCCATATTGGTGAAATAAAGTAGACAAAATACTTAGTAATAAGAGTACTTTAGCTCTCTCGTGTTCAGAATTCTATATAATAAAAGGCTAATATGCAAATCAACCGAAGGGCAGGATGTCTGGTCGCTATGACGTGTACTGACCACCAGGAGGCAGATGCTCAATGCAGGAGCTGCCCCCTGGTGGTCAGTGCACTCCCACAGGGGGAATGCTGCTCAGCCAGAAGACCTGAGCCAGGCTCATGGCTTACGAGTGCAGTGGTGGTGGCAGGAGTCTCTTTTGCCTCTGCAGAGGTGCTAAGAATGTCTGACAGCACTAAGGATGTCGTATTTCTGGCTTAGGCCCACTCCTGGGAGCAGGCCTAAGCCAGTAGTCGGACATGCTCTAAGAGCTCCAGTACTGCAAGGGAGCACAGGCTGGGCTGAGGGACATCCAACCTTTCCCCCTTTGCGCCGCTCCTCCCCCTCACCCACCGCCGCCCCTGTGCATGAATTGTATGCACCAGGCCTCTAGTAGTCTAATAAATTTGGAGAATGAGAGAAGAAAGGGTTTTGTTTAGTCCTGTGGAAATTTTTTATCTCTTGTTCTTGTGTTCTGTTGGAATGGACCTTTTGAGTGGAAAACTATAGTCTACAAGCAGCAGGATTTTGTTTCTGTTACATAACAGCTCTGTTCCCTTAGGTATAAGCTACCTACTCTCTCTGAGCTGAGCCTCCCTTTTCTCACTGGGGAAAAAGGGTTCTGGGTGTCTGTTTCCTCATCGGCTTATTGTGAGGATGAAATGAGGTAATTTGTAAAATCCCTGGGATGTGGCAGTTGCTATAAAAATGTTATACCCAGAAGTTTTTTGTTATGCAAATTTTATTTGGTGACTAACCATGCTTATCATATAGACATTTATCTTCCTTTTCCAGAATATTTTTTACTTTGTAAGCTCGGGGGGGGGGGGGGGGGGGGGAAGAAGGGGGTGCCGGGGGTGAAGTTTTCCTTTTGATTGTCAGAGGTTGATCTGGAAAATGATCCGGAAAAAAGGGGGGGGGGGTGTCTTTACTGTGATGGGGAGGCAGGGAAGTGGACCTACAAGTGGACCACAGACTCACGAGGCCTCTCCTTCCCGTGTTTAATTGCAGTATAAAAAAGAGGGCAGCAAGGTGACCAGCTACTGCCATGAGACCATGACCGGCTGGGTACACGATGTGCTGGGCCGGAACTGGGCTTGCTTCACCGGAAGGAAGATGGGCACTGTGGCGAAGAATGTGACTGTGGACGCTGCCCACCTTGAGGGTCTCCGGGAAAAGTGAGTTGTCACAAATGAACAGTCTATTCCGTTTCGTTTTTATTGAATATGACATTAGGTGTGTACGTTAAATTCTTGAAAAATTTTATTTTGATTATGTAAGATGTATTTGGCCTGGAAACAAAACTTTACTGGGAAAATATGTCTACTGATGTAAATGGGAGAAGAAAGCATAGTTTTTCAAAGCCCTCCAAACGTGACATCGCAGTGACCAATGAAGAAAAATCATTTTATTATTGCCAATGTAAAAGCATGCGGCACTATGTTTGTAGATACTTATATTTATGTTGCAACAAGTGTAGGTGATACTAATGGAACAAGAATTTTAAACAAGGCAGTAATAACTGAAATGAAAATTCTAAATGTTTATGTAGCGGATGCCATTTGCTAGGGTGGCCACAGCAAAGGACCACAGACTGCATGGCTTAACGTGTTTTCTCACAGGAATGGAAGCTGGGTGTCCAAGGTGACCATGTGGGCAGGTTTGGTTTCCTCGGAGGCCTCTCCCTGGACTTCTCATGGCCACCTGCTCTCTGCATCCCCATGTGGTTATCCACTGTCTGTGTCTTCATTTCCACTTCTTTTAAAAAAAATTTCTTTATTGATTAAGGTATTATATATGTGTCCTTATTCCCCTATTACCTTCCACCTCTCATTCATGCCCCCTGTTATCTGTGTCTTGATTAGGTATATGCATGCATCTAAGTCCTTTGGTTGATCTATTTCTTATAAGTACACCATTCAGATTGGGCCAGGGCTCCCTCGGAGGACCTCTTTTTACTTTAATTACTTCTTCAAAGGCCAAGTCTACAAATACAGTCACATGCTGAGGTCCTGGAGGTTAGGACTTCAGCATCTGTATTTTTTTTTTTTAATTAAATTATCTGTGTACATATTTTATCATTGTCCCCACCCCCAATATACCCTCCCTCCCCAGAGTTTTGTGTCCATTGGTTGTACTTACATGCATGTATTCAAGTCCTTCAGTTGATCTCTTATTTTCCCCAGATCTCCCTACCCTCCCCGCTGTAATTTGACAGTCTGCTTGTTGCTTTACTGTCTCTATATCTATCTTTTGGTTCATCAGTTTATAATGTTCTTTATTATTCATAAATGAGTGAGGTCATGTGGTGTTTCTCTTTTATTGACTGGCTTATTTCACTCAGCATGATGTTCTCCAATTCCATCCAGGTTGCTGCAAATGATGAGAATTCCTTCTTTTTTATGGCAGCATAGTATTCCTTTCTGTAGATATACCATCGTTTTTTGACCTAATCATCTGCTGACGGACACCTAGGCTGTTTCCAAATCCCAGCTATTGTAGATTGTGCTGCTATGAACATAGGGGTGCATATATCCTTTCTGATCGGTGTTTCTAGTTTCTTGGGATATAATCCTAGGAGTGGGATTATTTGGTCAAATGGGAGTTCCATTTTCAGTTTTTTGAGGAAACTCCATACTGTTCTCCACAGTGGTTGCACCAGTCTTCATTCTCACTAGCAGTGCACGAGGGTTCCTTTTTCTCCGCAACCTTGCCAACACTTGTCGTTTGTTGATTTGTTCATGTTGGCCATTCTGACAAGTGTGAGATGGTACCGCATTGTTGTTTTGATTTGCATCTCTTGGATAATTAGTGACTTTGAGCATGTTTTCATGTGCCTCTTGGCCTTCTTTCTGTGTATTTGGACAGGACATAGTCCAGCCTGTAATGTGCCGTTAATGCTTTTGTTAAGTGTACTTAAGTTAGGTAATAAGAACTGCACAAACAAGAGATTTTAGACTTTATTAGTTTGTAAGGAAAAGAGGAATATAAATAGAATTGGTAGCAGATTTTTATGTTTTAGTTATCTGTGAAATCCCCTGAAAGTGCCCATGAACACAACATCTAAAGCAGGTCACTTTATGACTCTTGCAGCGGAGAGGCGGGGAGGGGGTTTGGGGGCCTGTGTTTAGAGGACGGGATGTGTGTTTCTGGGAAAGTGCTGACCTAGGTCCATACTGACCCATGCCCCCATTTAGCTTTCAAATTGCTTGGCTTGGCTTGATCATTGAGCAATACATTTCCAAATAAGCTGTGTACTTTTTACCCTACTGTTTAGGATATACTATGTGCCTGTTGTACTTTTTTGATGTTTCAAACTTTGCCTCATTTAGCTTAGAAGCTAAAGCGCTAACTGGAATGCTCAGAACCTATGTTGCATCACCTGTAAAATGAGGAAATTACTCTCAAGATCTCTTTTAGCTCTTAATAATCTGCTAACCCATAGGGAGGTACATAACTTTTTAACCTCATTATATATAATGAGGTTAAAAAGTTATGGGATATATATATATATATATATATATATATATATATATATCGATATATATCCCATTAACTCCATAATATGCCAGTTATGAGCTAGTTTTCAGCAGTCACATATCGTACCTGCTTACGGCAGCATAAGGATATGATTAAGTGGAAAAAGGAGATCAGAGACATGGCCAAAGGTGACATCACCCAGCCTACGCCATTGCAACACAATTTTCAAGTTCAGTGCCAGTTTGGTAAACCAGATTGGCTTTTGTTCCCTTTGTCAGGGATTCTCACGTTTTTGAAAATCAGACCCTTTCCTGGTTCAAATTCTCAATGGCTTTATCTAGTATCTTACTGGCAACTGGTTCCTGTCACACCAGCCAGCCTTCTCTGCCCCTGTGCTGGGGCACTTCCCAGGGTAACGATAACACTGCAGGTTGATGTCCCCTGTGCCAGCGTGAGCTTCTCCAGGAGGTTTTGTCCTCCATGGGATCCAATGTATTGAACACGCCACCCCCTTTCATTTTGGTGAGAACAAGGGCGTCGCTCATGAGGTCTAGAAGAGGGTCTGGGTGTGAACATTGTAGAAAGAATGAGCACTTGTGGGTTGGATGGTTCACGACGGTGGAGGAAAGTGTGTCAAAGCTCAGGAAGTCTCACTGTTTGCATTCCTCACCACAGAAGAGTCAAGGCTGTTCTCATGGGAGGTAGAATCAGGGTTCCACCTCCGCCTGGCTCATGGCTGACTTGAGGTGAAGCTGCTCCCGGTACCTGGCACCTGGTGCGGAGCTGGTGCACTATTGGAATATCCTTTGTATCCATTGGCCATGTTCCAGCTGTCTTGGGAGAGTCTGGCAGTCAACCATCTCCTGTGCGTTTAGGGACCAATGCCAGCACCTGCAGTTTCACCCATGCTGTGTGAACAGCTGGGAAAATGCCCTCTAGGTGAACCTGCCCAGTTATCTCACGAATCAGGACTGGAGCCACCCTCTTGGAGCACAGCTTTTTGTGGACACACAGGACATTGATCTCTACCATCTTCCCTGTGTCACAGACCTGGATGTTTGCTCAGATGGTGCCGATGAATCCAACCAGTTTCCGACTTGAGACCTTTTGGGGAATAATCAAGTCGAAACATGTTGCCCTCCCCTTGCACATAATGCTCTTTCAGGAGGGCATATAATTCCTGTTCCATACCACCATCCCCAGGTCCACGGTGTCCCAGGCGAAGCCCTGGGGCAGGGCAGAGGACCCCTGGCGGAGACTGTCTTTGTCAGGCTCTGCACTCAGAATCCGGGCTGTTAACCATGTCTCCCAGTTTGAGTACCTGCAGCTTTACTTGCTAGCCTCTTCCATAGTTTTGGCAATGAAAACAGTTCAGTGGCCTTCTTTATTTCCTGATCCTCTGCTGGCAAAGACTTCATCTTCACAGGCCGATTGTGGGCCAACTCTGTCTCGCTGCCTTTTTCTTCATTCTTTTTCTGTTTCTTTGTCTTCTTTTTGGCTCCAGTAGCATTGGCTGGCCTCAAACCACCCTGGTTTGTCCTCCATGTCTTCACAATCTCTGTGGTGCTCAAGACCATTTCATTTCCCTTCCTTCACCTGAGGCCTGAGGCACCAGTGACTGTCACTCTCTGCCACACCTCCTAATCTCATTGGATCTCAGGCATGAAAAACAATGGTGTTTAAGACCTACTTTGTATTACTGTAATACATGTAACATAGGATATTTTTATTTTCTTAATATATTTTTATTGAGAGGAAGGGAGAGGGAAAAAGAAACATCAGTGATGAGAATCATTGATTGGCTGCCTCCTGCATGCCCCACACTGGGGTTCAAGACCACAACCTTGGCATGTTTCCTGACCAGAAATCAAACCCTGACCTCCTGGTTCACAAGTTGACATTCAATCATTGATCCATGCTGTTTTGCTAGATGTTACAATACAGGTGTGGTTACTGCTTTTCAAATACTTGAGGTCCATGATGCTTATCAGTGGAAAATATTTCAAGGTATACATTTACAATTTAACATTTACTCTCATCTAAAGAAACCAATAACTGTCATTTGTTTACAGGGTGATAGTGTGGTGAGAAGTAAGATATAGGCAGTTTTATAACCTGTTTAAGAAAGATACATCTCTGGTTTCACACTTTTCAACAAGTGGGGAAGAACTTTGGTAAAAAATGTTATCAAAGTAGTTGCATGTTTTTCTTATTTCAGTGCTGGCAATTCTTTGACTATATCAAAATGGTCTATGAAATAAGAGTCTACGTGGAAAATGGTATAATCTTTCAGGAAGGCTTTTTTTAGGGGGGGAGGGAGTAATGTAACATCAGCACTTTATTCAAATTTTTAAAACAGTCTTTATTCTAAAATAAAAATGTTTTAAAAATCCACAGGTTAAGTACACCATGGTATACTTTTGTTGGGAGGTATTCCAGTAGTCTAAATTAAGAAAATGAAAAGCTCACAGTATGCCTAAGATGATACTTGGGTTAGGTTTATCTTGCTTTGCATAAAAGAAAGTTTATGGAGGTCTTGAATAAGTGAGTCATACTTCAGCCACTGAATTGTATTCAGTTGTGATAATATGATAAATTCTATCATTCTTAGCACTGGCACCTGGTATATGTTTGAATTAAATGAATAATTAACTCACCTATTTTTTTTGTAAACATGTTCTTTTTATGTTATATTAATTTACATCTGACTCCAGGCATTTAGCACTGGTACACCAGTGCTTCTCAGATTTTAATGTTATTTTGATTCACTGCTCTGGGGAAGGAGGGGTCTCAGTAAAGTGCATATTCAGATAGTGTGGGTTGGCTGCTTAAAGTCTGCATTTCTACCAAGTTTCCCCGTTCAAACCCAATTTTAGTAACAAGGATATAAACCAAATGTTCATATGGAATACTTTTTTAAAATCATGTAGCTATAATATATGCCATACTCTGTGTACATTATCCAGTTTGTTCTGTTCTCTCATTTTTTATGATTACAAAGTTATAAAAGTGCATTGTAGAAACTGTATGAGGTAGGGGAAAGGTGGTGATCCTGTGTCACCACTCAGATAACCATGACTGGCATTTTTCAAAGGTACTTATATTATAAATTATACTTTCACATAATTGGTTAATTTTCTACAAACTTCTTTGTATCCTGCTTTTTTAATTTAATATAGAGTTAGCGCCCTTCCATATCACTAAATAACCTTCTAGACATTTTTGCTAACTACACTATATAGTGTATTATTTATATAATCAGTCCTTTATCTTAAAATATGTATTTAGGTTGTTTTTGATCTATCACTAGTGTGTTTCATTGAACATACATCTTAGTTAGCTTGAACCTTTACTTTCATCAGAGACATTCCAGTTCCAGGCTACTGATACATAGATGCATCTCCTCAGGCAAGAGTGGGCGGTGCCTTTTGGACTCACAGGCTGTCTCTTTATATATGAACCAAACCAAATTTGCTTTGGTGCCAGAAAAATGGCTTTGCTTGAACAAAGGATATGAACACAAACCGTTCTAAAGCCTGATGTCTTTAGAGCCAAAGTAAGGGAATTTTTCTGACCAAAAATTGCTTACCACTTATTGGTGAAGTGTCTGATGCCATCACTCCAGACTCTCAAGTGTTCCTTAGCTGGGTCGATGGGGTCTTACTCAATACAAAATGACTTGAGTACAGCGAATGCTCATTGGGGTAGAGGATAGTTCAGGGATCCTTAATATTTTGATTTTTGTCTTCTGAAGTTGGGTTTTATTTTATCTTATAATTTTCAGTTGACCTCAATTTTGTGTTCTGTGTATTTGACATTGCTTTTCCTACCAACTGTTGGGAAATTTGGCATTGTATGTTTCTCTCTACCATGGTGTACTTAACCTATGGATTTTCTAAACATTTTTATTTGAGAATAAAGACTGTTTTGAAGATTTGAATAAAGTGCTGATGTTACATTTAAAAAAATTGCCTTCCTGAAAGATTATATCATTTTCCATTTAGGCCTAGAGTATATGAATGCTTATTTCAATGGAGTCTAGTTATATCAGTAAAGAGTATGCCTAAAGCTATCTTGTTTTTGTTGGCAGGTATTCCAATAGGCTCTACCAATATAATCACTACTTTGTGAAAGTGATCAATGCTGTTCAGAAGTCTTGGACTGCAACCACATACCCGGAATATGAGACTCTTACCCTGAGAGAGATGATTAGAAGAAGTGGTGGCCACAGACAGAGAATCCCCAGGTAATAAAGCACCTCTCTCTCTTTTTTTTTTTTTTTATAAAATATATTTTATTGATTTTATACAGAGAGAAAGGGAGAGAGATAGAGAGTTAGAAACATCGATGAGAGAGAGTCATCAATCAGCTGCCTCTTGCACACCCCCTACTGGGGATATGCCCGCAACCAAGGTACATGCCCTTGATCGGAACCGAACTCGGGACCTTTCAGTCCCCAAGCCGACGCTCTATCCATTGAGCCAAACTGGTCCCGGCAAAGCACCTCTCTTGACACCAATAAAGATATTGATGCCATCATCCCTTCCAACCAGCATCTCTCCCTGGGTGGCCCACTATTTTACTGGTCATCCCAATTTATGCTTTTTTTTTTTTTTCTATTATCTAAAAAAGGGAGAGGAAGAAAAGAGTGAGAGAAATATCAGTGTGAAGAGAAACAATCTACTGGTTGCCTCCAGTCCCCACCCTGACCAGGGATTGAACTTGAAACCTAGGTATGTGCCCTGACTGGGAATCAAACCTGATACCTTTTGGTGTACAGGACAATGTTCTAACCAACTGACCACACTGGCTAGGGCCTGTTGTCTTTTTTTTTTTTTCCCCTGATCATTTTCCTCTCCTATTCACACTCACTCTCATGCTCTCCAAGCCCTGTTTATGGGTTTTGCTTTCACAGCATCTTCCATTTTCATGATTCACATTCCATTTTCTTTTCTTTTTATAAATGTATTTTTTACTAGATGGGTAAATGGGTTAGGGAATGAGATATATCTGTAATATATTTTTTATTGATTTTAGAGATGAAGGAGAGAGAGAGAGAGAGAGAGAGAGAGAGAGAGAGAGAGAGAGAGAGAGAGAGAGAAACACCAATGATGAGAAAGAATCATTGATTAGCTGCCTCCTGCACACCCCCTACTGGGGATTAAGCCGGCAACCTGGGTATGTGCCCTAACCGGTAATCAAATTCTGACCTCCTGGATCTGAGGTCATTGCTCAACCACTGAGACATGCTGGCTGGGCTCCCTTTCCATTTTCTAAACTCTGGCTTAGTTAGGGCTTTGTTGTGTCTTTCCTGCCTTGTGGATCAGCCGCTTGCTCCCTGTCTCTTTGGTTCTGTGTCTTTGGTATCTTTCCTGCTCTCTCCCCATCCTAAGCCAGTCTATAAAATATTGCCAATTTCATCTTTCTTTACTCAGCTATTATTGTGTTACTACCTATTGTCTAATGAATGTATTTAACTTGGTAGTAAGCAAAACCATCTAAACCTGGCAGTATCTATATTTAGTACTGTGACCTGCTTTCAAATACGTGACACACAGTGACTGGAAACTTCCCTTTCATATAATCTCTATTCATGATATCGCCTTTGTTTCAAATACCTCTCAACTTGCCTGTAATAACTGTCAAATTTGCCACTTGTATACATCTCAAAATCATCTTTCTGTTTTAAGTTCCAACCAAAAATGTGTTTTGTTTAACAATATACTTTTACTACTCTCAGCTAAAAGTGACATTTTCTGTCTTTAGCTTACACACCCCAGAGTGTATTGTTACTTTTGGAAATTAGGTTGTGATACTTTTAATTTACATAGTCAGGAATTTGGTAGGGTTTTTAAAAATTCTTTCAAAACCAGAGCTGCATCTTTCAGAGTATATAGCACCTTAACATTTGTTAAGTAGCCAAGGATGTTTCTGGGATGCCATATCTTGCTTCAGAAGAAATTGATAGAACTGAAGGGCAGGGAACTGGAAACCAATAGGGAGCTAGTAGGAGTCAGTAATTTATGTAGGTTGGTATTTTCCCTTAATAATTGTAACATTTTAGCCGAAACCGGTTTGGCTCAATGGATAGAGCATCGGTCTGTGGACTGAAAGGTCCCAGGTTTGATTCCAGTCAAGGGCATGTACAGTGGTTGCGGGCACGTCCCCAGTAGGAAGCAGCTGATCTATGTCTCTCTTTCTCTCATTGATGTTTCTACCACTCTATCCCTCTCCCTTCCTCTCTGTAAAAAATCAATTAAAATTTTATATAAAAAATAATAATAATTGTAACATTTTCCAATTTCTGAGATGATATTGATTATTTCCTTAATATAAATAGAATCCTTGGTCCAGATTTTATTGTTTGAGCAGGCCACTCATAGGTTAACTATTAAGTAATTAAAATGCATTTTAACTTTTTATCTGCAGACTAATAATCCTAATGCTCAGGCATTCTTCAACTATGAGGCTATTTGGAGAATTTTCCCTATCTCTCATAGTTCTGACCCTTGTTCAAAAAGCATCTTACATGATATATCTCAAGGTGTATTCTAAGGAACTGCTTTGTCCATGAGATGCTCTTGATAATTGAAATTGGGGAGTGGAGTATGTTGAGTCCCTTCTTAGATTCATAAAGTGAAGAAGTGGAGCTCTTGCCTGAAAGATATGAGCCTCAGACACAACTGCTTTGCCATGTGTCATGTGCCATATAGAGGAGGAACTCCTGTGCCAGGCTCCTCTCTCTCTCTCTCCAACCAACACCTTTGTTCTGGGGAAAGGCTAGCTTTATGAAGGGCTGCTTTTGAGGCTAAGGGTTCCATAGGAGGCTTGGGATATGGAGATGGAATTGAGTGAAGTTGGAAAGATTGAAGTAGACATTGTGGTCTAGCTGACCCCATTTTAATTGCATTTTATATACAATAAAAACTCTTGGAGATTCTTTAAAAAATATATATTTTATTGATTTTTGCAGAGAGAAAGGGAGAGAGACAGAGTTAGAAACATTGATCAGCTGCCTCTTGCACTCCCCCTGCTGAGGATGTGCCTGCAACCAAGGTACATGCCCTTGACCAGAATTGAATGTGGGACCCTTCAGTCCACAGTCGATTCTCTATCCACTGAGCCAAACCAGTTAGGGTGAGATTCTTAACTTTAAGTATAGGGAATTTGTGCAACTGCTGAAATTATAGAAAAGTTTATTATTTTGGGGCATCTCCCTGAGTCCAAAACTTTCACCAGATTCTTAAAGAATTTGGACCTAATTGATTAAGAGCTGGTAATATAAAGTGTAACTATAATGTTGTAATTCCCATGTCTCCATCTTCCCAATTCCTCTTTCACTCTCTTCATTTTTACACCATTCAGCTTCATTTGTCACACTGTTTTTGCTTTGTCCCTGGTAGGTTGATGGGCAAACATTCTACTTTATGGAGTGATGGGAAGGAGGAAGTTAACATTTGAATGCCTCTTGTGGGCCGAGAGTCACTTAAATTTATCAGTATTCTATTTAATCCTTCAATGACCTGAATGATGACAGTTATCATAATAGCTTAGTAATTTATTAAGGACTTATCAGAGACAGGCATTGTTCTAAGCACTATTTTCCTAAAAATTCTTTGAGTTAGATATGCTATACTTATTTTAAAAGGATATACTTATACTCATTTCATAGACTTGTGATGTTAAGAACTTTGACTAATGCCCTGGCCATTGTGGCTCAGTTGGTTAGAGCATCATTCCCTACACCAATAGGTGGTGGGTTTGTTTCCCAGTCAGAGTACATACCAAGATTTTGGGTTCAATCTCCGGTTGGGGTATGTATAGGAGGCAACCTATCTCACATAGATGATTCCTTCTCTCCCTTCCTCAAAAATAAAATAAAATAAATAAAAATTATTGAATCAAAAAAATTTTTAAAGTTCAGTCAATGTGGTTCAGTAGTTGAGGGTTGACCTATGAACCAAGAGATCACGGTTCGATTCCCAGGCCAGGCACACGCCTGAGTTTCAGACTTGATCTTTAGTAGGAGGCATGCAAGAGGCATCCAATCAATGATTCTCATCATTGATGTTTCTATCTCTCCCTCTCCCTTCCTCTCTCTGAAAATCAATAAAAACATATTTTACAAAAATAAGATCTTTGACTATTGTCACACAACTAGTGAGTGGTGAAGTCATTTGTAGGAGGTTGGTATAGCTCTGAGATACCTGCCCTGAAATTGTTATGCTGCCATGCTTAAATTCCTTTTTTGGTTACCTCACAATTTCTTTTTAAATTATTATTATTATTATTATTATTTTTATATGTGTCTTATTCCCCCATTACCACCCATTCCCAATTTGTGCACAGTTTTTTAATTCACTCATCTGCTGATGGGCATTTGGGCTGTTTACAAATCTTAGCTATGGTGAATTGTGCTGCTATCTTTCATATTTTTAGTGTGTTTTTAGGTATTTATGGGACAATTCATTAATATTTATTGAGTAGTTGAATCTTTTGGCCTCTAATGTAAAAATCACAGAAATTGTTCATTTCTTTCCAAAATTTTTTTATAACCTAGTTTTTATTCATAAATTTCAGAGTAAAAATCCAAGGTTTATATCTTTTTATTTTCTGTCCAACATATAAAATTTTCATGATGCATAGCTTTTTATATATCTTGGTAATTCCATGGACATTATCTAGGTTAAATGTTTTATAGCATTACTATAATTTCCTTGTATTTGTTATGGTAGTTTATGTATGTTTTATATCTTTTAATGCTGTCTTTTATATGGTCACAGCCCACCTCATGTTCATCTTCTAGCAATGTCCCTGGCTTAGTTAACATTTTAGTAAAAAATTGACATTTCTGTATGGAAAATGCCACCTATTCATTTTTAAAAATACATCTTTATTGATTTCAGAGAGGAAGAGAGAGGGAGAGAGAGAGAACCATCAATGATGAGAATCATTGATCCACTGCCTCCTGCATGCTCCATACTGAAATTGATCCTGCAACTTGGGTATGTGCCCTGACCAAGTTAAGTGTTGACCTAGTACCTCATGGTCTATGTTCCATCACTGAGACACACAGGCTATGCAGTGCTATCTCTTCTTTACAGTTCTCAAGGTTATGATTGCTAGGCACAAATGACTTCCCCTGTCTTTCATCTCACTTCCATTTTGACCTAGCATTAACTTTTATCATCTCAGAGAAGTGTGTGAGAGAAGGACTTGGGATTAGTTGCAGAGGACATGAAGAAGTCCAGAAATAATTTTTGCCAGTGACTAAATTGGAACCTGGTAAAAACCAACTTGGTAACCACTGGAAAATTAGAACACTGTGGTATGATAATTCCAAGTTGAGTAAGAAATTCAAGTAGTTCACAATAACAGAAAAATAAATGTTACCACAATATAACAGCGGTGCCCTAACACAAAAGAGATGATGCAGCACAGAGAGAAGTGGGTTTTTGTTGGGGATTGTGGGTGGAGGCTGTTGTATGAGCAGTCTTTAAAATTAAAAGTCAGGGAAAAACTCTAAGGGGATTTTTTTCTAATCAGTGGGCAGCAAGCATTTTAGATAAAAGGAACAGCAGTACAGAGACATGGAACACAGAGCATTCGGCAGACTTGGGCAAACTAAGAATTCAGATGTGGCTACAGCTAGTATGCTGTATGTGTGTTTTAAATCTGTAATACAGAGAAGCTTGCAGAATAGTTTCCTCATTTCCAGGCAATGATGGACAGGCAGAAATGTCTATCCATCATTTCATTATCCCAGGCAACTCTCCTTTTGAGCCTTATTTTCCAAGCATATCCTATAAGCTCTAGTTCTGTAATGAAGCAATTTTGTCCTCTGTTTATGGAGCTAGTCTGCCTACTTTACTCTTTGATCTTTTGTTTCTGTGCCTGCTTCACTTCTTTTACCTCATCACTATTACTACTACTCATCTCCTGAGTTATATATAAGTAATTTCTATATATCCTGTGTAGGCCATCTTTAACTTCCCATGTCTGCTTTCTTGGTCAAAATCTGTTAAAAGTAAGAGAATGCAGCTACTGACACATGCTAAAAATAGCAGTGCAGTAATATACAAAACCAGTGTCATTTCACAGGGGAATATTACTATATCTGAAAAAGAAATGATTAATGAAACTCACATAATGTAGTTCTATAATAGTGATATTATATAGATTGAGATATCATGTAGATATATTATGTACATTATTATGCAATGCACACATTGAAACATTGATGGGACCAGTGCCCCTTGGGTCTGAATGTATTTTTAGCCAGCCAGGAGGTTGAAATTATGGAATTTGAAGTTAGGAAATCATCCTTAAAGGAAAGACTGTATATTGATACCAAATATATATTTCCATTCTAGGCCCAAACCTGCACCACTAACTGCTGAAATACATGAAAAACTTTCAAGTTTGCCAACATCTTGGGACTGGAGAAATGTTGATGGTACCAATTTTGTCACCCCTGTTCGAAACCAAGGTAAAAAAAAAATCTAATTTTTCATTAATTTATTCTGAAACTTTTATTGAACATTTACTATGTGCCAAGCTCTGCAGTAGATTCTGGAGATACAGATGTTAATGGGCATGTTACACTTTAGTAAAGAAATAAAAATGACATGGCCAATGAATATTCACTTCTTTTGTATCCACAACAGATTTTGTCATTAGATAATCTCTCCAACTGAATTTAGAGTTTCTTAATAATCCTTCTCAATATTGGTTTCACAAAGCTAATGGGATTAATCAGAGTAATATGTAAGCCAAACTCATTTGCTCTCCTAGTAGGAGAGACTCATGTAGAAACAAAGAATTGCATACAAATAAAATTGGTATTCTGTCTACAAGTGATCTCTGGAATCCTACTTTGCTACCTGTCTTCCCCCTCCCTGCCCTGACCCCATCATTTAGTCTTTAAGTACTATAAAAGGCCAGAAAATGGATCCATGACTTTTTTCTGGTAGATTTTTTGATCTGTAACCTTTCCATTTATTTTATGTCAGGGTATTACCTATTATGGTAAATATTAACTCGGCTTCCAAAATGGTGGCCCTGGAGCAGAGCCTGGGTTTACCAAAAGTATGACTGTAATTCCATTTTGCAAGTTATTTCCAGAAATTGGATACAGAATGAATACATTTAATAATTCTTTCTCTAATAGCACTTGATAGCAAATTATCTTGTTATCCTAAATTTTAGCCAACAATGACTTGGAGAATCATTTATATAATACTCAGGTTTATTACTTCTAAACTCAATTTCAAGATAATTAGAGTACATATGACTGATTTGTTACCATAAAATATGTGTAGTATTTGCTGTCTAGTAACAATCTGATTGGTATCTCCTGAGAACATTATAATTTAATAGCATCCAAAGATAAATTGTTCTTCCTCTTTCCTAAAAATTAAGTGATAATCTGCCTGATCCACTTAATCAGCATTCACCACTGACCCTTCAATTCCATCCTCACTGAATTCTTGCAAAATGTTCTAAATGCCCAGAGCTCTGAGCAGGTCTTATAGCAACCAGTCAGCAAGGTTTCTGTCTAACTGACACCAGAGGTCTTCCCTTTGTACCAGTTATTCTAGGACTCTTCAGCTCTAGAGAAAGTGTAGAAATCATTCCCTACCTTCTCTTTTGATGGGAGGGCTTATTTGGAAAAGAGGGAATGGAAATAAGAGAAATTTTAAGGTAAATGAGAAATGAAAGGACTGATGTTAAAAGAGAGGATTAAAAATTTCCTCTATCATCGAACAGATTTCCTATACTTATTTGAAATGGTTAAGTAACTACTGTATGTCATACTGATTATGAGGGCCTGGCACAGGCTTGCTTCTGTTGTGTTGGATGTTTATAGAATACTAAAGGCCCAATGCACAAAATTTGTGCAAGGCGCTTGGCCCTCGCAGCCCTGCACACTGGTTGTTCCCAGTCCAGTCTAATTAGCATATTAGCTCTTTATTATATAGGATGTTGTATTCAGATTTTTTTTTCTAGTGGCTGAGGATATAAAAACTAATATGACATGGTCCTTGTCCTAGAGACTAACAGTTTAACAAGACCTGCAAGTGAAACATTAAAATACAATTAAAATAAAATAATGAAAAATTATTTGAGAGAGTGTTTTGAAAACTCAATGGAAGCATAGGAGAAGGGGGGGGGTAGGAAGTTTAGTTCCACTCACTCCTCAAACGTTATGATCAACTAGTGATGGGACAACTTTTCAGTGGAAGAAAATTAGACTTTCTAAAGCCAAATTCTTTCATACAGGTTTTCTTATAGCTTGAAAAAGCTTATATTGTCTTCCATATCTCATATTTCGTGAGAGTTATAACTGTGAGTTGTACAGAGGCTCCAGTAATTTAAAATCAGAGGGATTCAATAGATTAATTGCTTTGCAATTGATTCCTCGTTTGTAGTATTATATCTTGTTCGGTACTTGAGAAAATAATGTACTTAGTAGGTTCCTCTTTTGGTTTTCTGTACTTTCGGTTGGGAAAAAAAAAATATTTTCCCTTCCTGCTAATTGGGCAAGTTGGAAATTTCTACTAATTTTAAGAACACCAGTGTTCTGTATAACCCAGAATTCAAAATTAGCCACAGTTAAGGGAATTCACAACTTTATGCAGAGAGCATATTAAGATGAATGAAAAAAAGAGACATTGGGAAGACAAATGAGGTTTTAGCTTTATACTTGGAAACAGGTTTAAGCCCCAGCCTGAATGGCTGGGTTGACTTTGAAGTGTGAGAGGGAAGAGAACTCGGAAATTGGAAGACATGAACTTCCTTAGTTTTTCTTCCACCTATGCTTCCTTTATTTATTCCATCTTCATGAGAGAAGAGGCTGTTTCTCGGGTCATGTTACTTAGGAAGTGCAGAGTGCTTTGCTAATGTTTAAAATGTAGTTCATGCCCAGGCCGGTTTTGCTCAGTGGATAGAGCGTCAGCCTGCGAACTGAAGGGTCCCAGGTTCGATTCTCATCAAGGGCATGTGCCTTGGTTGCAGGTACATCCCCAGTGGCGGGGGTGGGAGCGGGTAGGGAGTGGTGGTGCAGGAGGCAGCTGATCGATGTTTCTCTCTCATCGATGTTTCTAACTCTCTGTCTCTCTCTCTTTCTCTCTGTAAAAATCAATAAAAATATATATTTTTAAAAATGTAGTTTATTTCAAACTTGTTTTAAATACTGTTCATGCCAGAAGGCAGGAACCATAAACTGTGTGCTTCACCCTATTCATTTTACATGAAAGATAGAAATGCCAGAGAGATCACGTGACTTGCTCAAAGCCACATAGCTGAGTGATGAAGCAAGTGGGGGAGGGAAGGGGTAGGAATCTTGACTCCTTACTCCTAGTTCTGTCTTTCCTGCTATTCTAAGGTGCAGCTGAACATTGTTAAATCTTGCAAAAGTCACATTGTTTTCTTGAGACTGTGTAAATGTGATTGTTGGAGAGTTCTGTCTGGGCCAGATCTCCCTTAGTCTTCTGAAGGGATAATGGTTCTTTTAGAATCTAGGCTCTGGCTTTCACGTTTGAAAGTCATTAATTACCTTGGCAGCTGACACATTCTTCTGGGAACTACAGGGGCTTGAGGGAAATTATTCCTTTTTTTCATCCCCATGTTTTTTCTGTTAACAGAGCACATTCTGATCTCTTGAATGTACATATGACTTATCCCACCCTCCTCCCCCCCCACACACACACAATAATGGATGATCAGAAATAACCAAGAGAGGTTATTTCCTTGGGTGCCATGGGCCAAGAATGCTGAGTGACCAAAATGGGGCTGTTTCCGGACTCTTGTGGGATGTTATTTTTTACAAGACCCTGATGTTTCATTGTAGGAACAACTGGCTTTGGCTATTTATTGTCACTCATGTAGTTCTTTGACATTCTACAAATTGTCCTAGAGACTTACAGTTTAACAAGACCTGCAAATAAAAATAAATACCATATCTTTATTTCCTCATTGGACATCTTAAGTACCATACTTGAAAGTTGGGAGGGTCCTAAGGATAGTGATATTTGGATGGTTTAAACAAAATGTATAAGTTAGTTTTGGTCTAGGTATTTAGTAACCAGATGCCAGGGAAAGGGAATTTGAGGATTCATTAAAGCAGATAAAGACCTGTGGACTGAAAATGACACCAGGCCTGCGTTAGCAGAAACTAGGCACTAGCCCCTGCCATCTGTTGGCTTTGTGACTTTGGGCAGGTCATTATTGCTTCTTTCCTAGTCTCCGTGAACGTGTCATCAAATGAGTGTGTTGTACTACTCAATGAATTCCAAAGCCCTCTCCCAAATGTTTGTCTTTTAAAAAAAAATAGGTTTTTAATGATTTTAGGGAGAGAGAGATAGAAACATCAGAAGTGCTTTCTCTCCCTTACAGCTTAGAAACAAGTCAGGGTTCACTATTTCCATGGAAGTCATTTCCCCTGCCCTGGGTGTAAATATATATCTTGTTCGTAACTGACTCTTCTACAAACATGCATTGTGTTCCCTCATTGCATCAGGCACCAAGATGAAGAGAACAAATTTCCTGTGAACACTCAGGAAAATTCAAAGTATAGTTTGTGGAAAACAATATAAGTAATTCAAATAGAGTTTAGGATGTTGGAGGCTGAACCTAGGGTATCCTGGATTTACTTTGCACTCAAGGAGAAATGAGAATCAAGTTACCTTCTCCAAGTAACATATTTTGAATGCATAAAGCTCTTTTGAGTGTTTTTCTCTCTAAGGAAGAAAGTTACTAAATTATGAAATTTAGTACTTAATAAAAAGTAGAACAAACACAGCATTCTTTTTATATAGAATGCATTTTTTATTGTAATATGTCTATTCACTAATCTTGTTTTATGTCCATAAGGGAGTGCTCACTATTCAGGTAATTTGGTAACTAATATTAGTAAAGTGAACAACATGCCAATTTTGTATATTTGCACTTAGTACCTATGTCTTGGCACTAAATTTGTATCAGTGACAAAGAGACAATATAATAATAGAAATATTAATATTATGCTCATTTCTTTCTAGAATTATAACAAGTAGAAGTCCCAGTTCTGTTATACTAGTAATTGTGCCATATTTTCTTATTTCTTAACCTCACATATTGAAGAAACATAGAAAAGTAATACTGTTCACATATTTTTCCTTATGTTTTTTTCTTCTTTTGAAATAGCAACTACGTTCCTCGCATATTCTTCTTAAGTAAATTGATTTTGTCTTTGCCAGAGCATTCAGGTGTTAGATGAAGCTGTTTTATTTTCCCTTCTCCCTACCTCAATCTAGTTATCTTCATGTTTCTTTCTTCTCTCGGTAATACTTTTCGGGGATCATAGCTATACTGCTGTTACCCTTTTCCCCTTGGAGTCAGTCTTCTTTTAATTTCACTACCTCCATGTCTTATATCTTTATATTCTCTTTGGACATATTAAGTACCATATTCATCATTATGATTATTCTCTTCCTTTGTTGGGCTTTGTTGTCTTTTACCTCATTGACCCTGGTTAAATCAAACTCTCTACAATATACCCATGAGAGCCTGTCTTAGGGTTAGTTCTACCCAGCAAGTTGTGTTAGAAAATGCTGCTCTAGAGATATTTAAAAGCTCTGCTTACTTGTATCCCTCAGTTTGTTTCTCTCAGTCTGGTGGCTCTGCAAAATTAAGACATTTCTTCATGATCAAGAATACTATCAAATGCTTTGCAGAAGTTAGGAGGTTTTTGTTCTTTTTTTTCTCTCCCTCTTAAAATATTCTTAAGGAAAACCCCATATGGTAACATTTGCCTTTTGATGAAAAAGCTGAAATCTTAATGTTGGCCTTTAAATTCAGTCCTGTCTGTTGATTGACTTTTTTTTTTTTTTTTTTTTTTTTTACTGTGCTTGAGCAACACTCATTATAAATATATTAAAATATTGTAACTACTGAGCTTTCTCTGTTTTTATGAATACTTCAGAGGCCTCTTGGGTTATAGATCTTTTTTTTTTCTCTCTCTCTCCATCACCAGCATCTTGTGGAAGCTGCTACTCATTTGCTTCTATGGGTATGCTGGAAGCAAGAATACGTATCCTAACCAACAATACCCAGTCGCCAATCTTGAGTCCTCAGGAGGTTGTGTCTTGCAGCCAGTATGCTCAAGGTAAGTGTTGTGTTTCAGGCACTGTTTTCCTGTGTGCGTGGTTGGCCGTTGTTGGCAGACAAAAGGATGGTGTAGTAGGTAGAGCATAAAGCCGTAATCAGAAAATCCTGATGCAAGTCTGGCCCTATCAGTTATTAATGAGTGGTTTCTCATAGAATTTATTGTGCCCCTAATAGTTACTATAGATTGTAGGAGCACTGCCTCTTAGGGTCTCTCATATACATTACCCAATGATGCCCCAAATCCTGAAAGAGTAGATAGAATCCCTAATTTATAGACAGGGAACTGACACCACATTGTTCTATGATCTTTTCAAGGCCACACAGCTTCTAACCATTAGAGTTTCCGTTTCCACTAAGGTCTCCCTCCAAAACCTAATGCTTATTAAAACCAAACTAGCACTGGTTTCTCTTTAGGATAATTTAAAAATTCTGTCTGTATGTTTTTGAGAAGAGGGCATATGTAATGTATGTAGAAAGCCTAATGGCCATTCCTTCAGAGAGAAACAGTGCCATGTTAAAGTTTTCTTGTCTCAACCCTAGATTTGGCCAAGAGAAAGTTTCTCAGATCACCAGCGGAGAAAGATTATTTGCCAGGGGGCCTTTCATTCTTTCTGAAATACTTATCAAACGCGGATATTGTGACTTCTAGGCTCTGGGGATTGTGATATATCAAGTCCCTTATGAAAATCCATGGTGTGGTGTCTATATATTTAATAACAACAATAATAGTGAACTTTTATTACTTTTACATAAAGTGACTAATTTAATCTTACAGGAAAGGTGCTATTGCTGTCTATATTTTATAGATAAGTAAGCAGGTGCAGAGATAGTCTTCACACAGTTTTGGATTTGAACCTACATAGTGAGGCTGCAGAACTTCCCACCTAACCACTAAGCTAGAGGTACCTTCAAGTGTTGAATCAATAATGCCTGTTAAATAGATAGGGATGATAGGATAGAGAGCTAGGCAGCTAGTGGATGGATGAATGAAGTACCATTTAAGCTAGGCACAACTTCCAGGTAGCATAAAAAATTAATGGAGTATAAAAGAGAGACTAGGAAGTGGGACAATTTCTCCTCATGTCCCTTTGTAATAAAGGGTTAATAACTCTGCGTCATTCCTCCTCAGGCTGTGACGGCGGCTTCCCATACCTCATTGCAGGAAAGTACGCCCAAGATTTCGGGCTGGTGGAAGAGTCATGCTTCCCCTACACAGGCACTGACTCGCCATGCAAAGTGAAGGAGGACTGCTTTCGCTACTACACGTCCGAGTACCACTATGTGGGCGGTTTCTACGGGGGCTGCAACGAAGCCCTGATGAAGCTTGAGCTGGTTCATCACGGGCCCATGGCAGTTGCTTTTGAAGTCTATGACGACTTCCTGCACTACCACCAGGGGATCTACCACCACACTGGTCTGAAGGACCCTTTCAATCCATTTGAGCTGACGAATCACGCTGTCCTGCTGGTGGGCTATGGCACTGATCCAAAAACTGGGCAGGATTACTGGATTGTGAAAAACAGCTGGGGCACCAGCTGGGGTGAGCAAGGTTACTTCCGGATCCGTAGAGGCACTGATGAGTGTGCAATTGAAAGCATAGCCATGGCAGCCACGCCAATTCCAAAATTGTAGCATGAACCACCCTGCAGTGTATACTGATCACCATCAGTCCTGAAAGGGGATGATTTATTCACAGATTAGAGATTTTTATTGCAGCAGTTTCAGGAGATTACAAATAGATTCCTATGAAGATTTTTTGCCTTCAAAATTAAAACTGCTCTTGACTTAATATGCCTTCCCATTAGCCACTAACCTAATTTTTTATAAGTACTCAATTAAATGAGATTTTTTTTATGATGGTGGTGAACTGTGCACTAATGGATTTTGCTAATCGTTTCTAGTTCAAATATGCTATATTTTGAACAGTCTATTTGAAAATCTCAAGGAACTACGGCAAGGACTATTAAATTAAAAATATTTTTTTGTCAATGATCAAGTGATATATATTGTGGAATTTATGTGTGTGCATAAAAGAACTTCTACCATTGGCTCCTTCAGTTACATTCAGATTCATTGTGTCACCTATATAAGTTCTTTAAGAAGGAAAAGCATTTGAGGATATTTTAATTTAAAACAAAAATTTATAAAACTTTATGATAGGGGCTATGTTCAAATAATGGCAAGTGAATGCTAAAATTATTCACTCTATAGTTAATGAGCCAAAAGTCATAGTAAAAAGAAAATTTTAGGACTTTTGGTCAAAATGTTGAAATTGGTTAAATTTTCTTATGGTCTACCTTGAATTTAGAAGTATTGGTTAGCCTTCATTGGTGAGCAGTAATAGTTAAATTAGTAGAACATTAGCAGTTTAAATTTGGACACACCTTCGGATCTCTGAAGTGTATTACACAGTGATATGAAACTGCTATGCTGAGTCAACAGATGGCATCTATTACAAATAACAGATTAGGCAAAATTAGGCAGCCAAAGCTCTAAAACATACACAAGAACAACAAGTCTTTTGGAAGAGACGGTAAATAGAGATCATGCAATCAAACCTCTCTGCACAGAAAAAGAGACCAAGGCTTAGAAAAGTTCAAGTAACTCGGCTAAGCCACACAGGTGGTAAGTAAGGGAGTCATGAATAGCACCTAGATCTTCTAAGGCCTGTTCTCCTGGAGAAACTTAGACACTGAACCTCAGCACTTCCCACCAAAGCATCCCAAATCCTCAGGGATATGAGGTGCAAACTTGGAAGTTTCCCCTTAACATGTTAAGTCTCAGGGTTTTGTCTTAAACCTCATGTACTCTTTGAATGACGATTGAGCCACTACAATGACACTTTTATTCTCCTTGGACTAAAGTAGCCTTCCAGGAATTTACCAAGTGTTTATAAGGTGGGGCTCCTTGGGTATCTTGGGACACTGAGCCATACTTTTGACCTTTTCGCCACATAGTGACACAGAACTTCCAGAAGGACTCTAACGACCGGTATTTTCTCTGTTCCTGTTACTGATTCAATGTACTGTTAGTCCTATGTTATGCCTAGCCTTGTCACTATGTGAAAGTGTAAAAAGAATTTGAAATCAAGATGCATTTATTTTTCGCTGAAATTTTATATAGATACGACCTGTCAGCTTAATGGGTATGACTCTGTTAACACGTACACATAAGCTTATCTTCTGGGTTTCGACAGCAGTTAGCGGATGCATAAGAGAGCAAGTCATGAAGATGCAGAGTGCCCATGGTTTTGCACAATTTTCTGAGGGCCCTCTTTGAGCCCCACAGGAAAATCATTGCTGGTGTCAAGTATTAAGTACTTTAGAAAAAAAACACTGGAAAACTAAACATAGGTGTGAACCTAACTGGCAGTGGGAAGCAACTCTTACAGCATGATTAGTTGTAGACAAGCAAAGGTTTGAAGAAACCTTAAGTCTTCAGAGATGGCAAGAAGGATTGCCCACAAGAGCTCAAGTTACACTGCACTTCCATCTGCATTTATCTGGAGTGTGCTTCTCCTGTGTTGTAAGACAGAAAGATCACTTATTTCATCAGCAGTGGAAGAATTAAAAACTGACTAAATGAGACATTGTGGTTCCTCCAGCTCTGTGATTAAACTGTTAAGCTGAACAAATAGCAGCAAGTTTCATTCTAAAACGTGTTTATGTTGGTGTTAATAGCACATATAATCAAAGTCTGCTGACAAATTAAACTATGAGAAAAATAGGACAACAATTCTCGCTAACCTCAATAAAGACATTACCAGAAAAACTACAGTGAAAGTACACATGGATGGCACCACTGACCACAAAGAGAAACTAAGTGTAATCGGGCATCTAACTCAGTTGTGACAGACTGTGCCACTTACCACCATGACACCTTGGGCAGTTTCCTTAATCCACCTGTGCTTCATTTTCCTCATTTGTTAATAGAGATAATGGGGTAGATCTCTCATTTAACTCTTCCTACTTAAACTCTTGCTATTGCAATGAAGGGATCAAGTGGATTTGAATCTTTAGGTGATACAATTTTCTTTATTTAAGATCAGGCTTTTCATCATCATCCCAAGTGTGTGAACTAAACTAAATTCAGATAATGAAATCTTCCTGGCCTTCCAAACTCAAGTAACTCTGACCTCTCACCCCTGAATTCAGGAAGGGAAAATGTTTGGATAGGAAGGGATACACATCTACTTCACAGTTTTCTGAGGATTAAATGCCTTCAGATATGCAAATAATGCAGAACAGTGTTTGGAACATAAGTCTTTTTTCTGAACTCAACCTTTTGCTACAGGAAGCAGCTAAGACATAATTCTGCTAATGAATAAAGTCTGCTCTACTACGAGGGGATTGAAAAACCAACAGAGGAACACTGGTACAAAGAATCTCACACAAAAAAAAACTTCCAAAAAGTACAAATTAGACAATTCTGATTTTCTGGTGTAGAGGTTTCACTTCCCCACCACACCGCTGCTACTGCCCCTGTGGAGAGAACCATCAAGGTCAGATGCTACCGCACAGCTAAAAATCAGACCCCAGATGAGAGGAAAGTCACTAACTGAAGCAAAAAGGAGTGAGGCTAATCTAAGGTTGTAACAGCTGGATTTTCCTATTTGGAATTTTACTATTAGGATAAGGTAAGTATAACAGATTCGCGCGACCATCTAGTCCACCTCTGTCCTTGAAATAAAAATGGATTTTACAGGTGAGATAATATGTCTGGGCTCTCAGCTAATAAAGATGAATCTGGACCCCAGTGTGTCTAGAACTTTCTACTGTACCCACTGCCTCCTAATTAAGAAAAATGGAGAAACTCTAAACGTGGGACTAATGACTTCATCTTGCTCCATTAAAATCATTTCTAAGGACTTTCCTAACTCTCAAATCCTTTTCTGGTCTCTTGGGGAAAATGCTGTAAGCTCCAATCATGTGGTTTGGAAGCTTTAACAGTTTTCTTCTAAATATAGTGATGCTAATATTTATATTTCTTAATTGTAGTAAATATTTATTTTTGTTTAAATAGAAGCTTCCTGACCAAGACAGGAAAGCTTTGGATAAATCAAATTCTTCTGCTCTGAGGGAAATGCATGGACTTGACATTAGTCATTGTACCTTAGTTTCATTAGTGTAAAATATTGACCTCATTGAACTGTAGTTCCGAGTGAAACTAAATTTGCCTGAAATTGCCTGGGCTGTAAGATAATTGAAACCTCAGCAGACCTGGCCATGCGACATGAAAATTGCAGGAGATGAACTAGCCTTTGGACAGAAAATGCAACACATGCCTTTGTTGTTTCTTCCTTTTTCCTCTCAGAAATCCATTTATTTAGATCCATTTTCTTCAAGTGCTTTTAAGAGTTAGCAGCAGTGAAAAGTTTAACCTCTCATTTTCTGATCTTGAGACTGTGATGCTGATGCAGTATTTCGATTTTCAACTTTCTGTCCTAAAAGGCAATTTTTTTTTTGAAATTCAGTTCTATAGAAAAAGCTGACTCGTTCCTCCCTCTAATACAAAAGGTCTAAAAGAGAGGGAAATCCTAGCAATCAATTGAACAGAAATGAGTTGGAGAAATAGCCTTTCCCTGAGGACATAAGGGAAATGCCATGAAGGTAAGGTGGTGCATTAAAGGAATCATTGAGATAATTTATTTTTTCCCTGTACTGTGTTTTCTTAACCTGCAAAAGCATTAAATAGTTTCAGTGTAATGTAAGATAAATGATAGGAAATGAATGCTGTTAGTATTAGATTTTTGTACCCACATTCTCTCTTTTGTGGGATTTCTGGAGACCTAAGAGAAAAACCAATTTTTCCTTCTGATAATGATTCCTGTGCCATCATAGGATGCACAGTATTCCTAAGAGATAGTAGACAGCAGTCTAACATTCAATTGTGTAACAGGATGTGTTCAGCAGCCTAAGATTCAATTGCATAGGATGAGTCAATGAGGAGAAAATCAACAGAATAGCATTGAGCCATCAAAATGTACTGGACTTTGGAATCAGTCCCGATGCTGAGACTGCTTCTCCCATGTTTGTTATTTGGACCTGAGTCCAGTTACTAAACAGATATGTCTAGTCTTCAGTGTCTTTGCCCGTTAAAAGTTGATGTTAATACTATCAAGGGTTGTAACAAGGTTTAAAAGAAGCAATGAGTGTTTATATATTACACGTCTAGTGTCTTTTTTTTTTAAGTTTAAAGTGTCTTACAAAGGTAAAGATGCAGTAAAATACAAGTTTATTTTTTTAAATATATTTTATTGATTTTCCACAGAGAGGGAGGGAGAAGGATAGAGAGCTAGAAATGTCAATGAGAGAGAAACATCGACCAGCTGCCTTCTGCACACCTCCTACTGGGAATGCACCCGCAACCAATGTACTTGCCCTTAACCGGAATCGAACCCAGGACCCTTTAGTCCCCAGACCGACGCTCTATCCATTGAGCCAAACCAGTTTTGGCAGTAAAATATAAGTTTAAAAAATGAACTGAAGTAAGGAAGATAAAGGTAGAAAGTAGGCTATGACTGAACACAGTTTGTACAGAAGTCATGCATCATACTAGCTGTACATGGTGGAATTATATTTGAACAGTGGTATACAACCAGAGGTGATTTTGTTCCTCGGACATTTGACAAT